GTTTTTCAAGTTTGTTTTCCCCCACATTGATCTAAATTTTTTCGCTGTGTTAGTATCATTACGATGACCCTTTTCTACAACAAAGTACCTTTTTGACCAAAACCTTAAATCTTGAACTTTGAAAGCTGAATAGATACGGGTCCAGAGCAGCGTTAACAGACGCAAGCAATATTGTTGCAATATCAAAGGCTTCGATACGCGTGTTCGATAATCCATATATCATATAGGAAGCGGTTGATGGAATCCAGCAGACGACAAACGTGACGACCACAGCAAGAACACACAATGTTACTTTCGTTTTCTTCTTTCTCTCGAAGATTTCTCGTTCTCATGTAGGTTCGACTGTCTGCTTGCACCAGAGGGACATGTATATTTTCACAGGAAAGAATATTGTAAGGAGAGATATTAGTTCCAAGATACGAGATACATTAGAAAATAGAAAATGGAAAAAACAAAAATAATCAGATGAAAGGAAAAGATGCATAATCACTGCGGAAAAAGCTGAGGTGCCAGATAGTCTTGCAGCGGCACCACCGTTTCGGAAAAGAGCAGAAATTGGATACGATTAGCTCTTTGAGAAACAGCGATATCAGCAAAATCGCCACTGCGTCGCAAACTTGTCTGGTGTAGTCTCTCGGGCTGACACCAACGCAGGAAACTGAGGAAAACCGATTAAGCATGTAATCTTGTTTTTCTCACCAATAATTGTCCTCTCTGTTTGATTGATGCCTAGAGGTTTTTTTAGCTGATAAGTTACTTAAATATTTACTTTGGACGCTGCCAGGGGTACGATCCAAAACCTAACTTTAAGCTCAGCAATCTTTTACAATTTCGTTTGTCAGCTATAATTTGTACCGGTGTTGGGAAGCCTAATTAACGATCCTTCGACGGTATAACTATCGTTGATGACAGTTAAGTTTAAATAATAGAATTTTGCAATAGTTCAAATTCCTCCTCGGGAATTGGGAACTAGTTTATTGCTAATGACAATTATAATTAACCAATCAGAATGCTTGTAAGTGACGTCAGGTCACGTTGGACATGATGTCACAGATTATGCTAATGAGAACTTTTATAAGTGCATGTAGCACACACTTTAATTCAGTTGAGTTGGAACACCAAGCAGATAAAGAAAAGAAAAGAAAGCAGAAGCAGAAAAGCAGTCTCGTCGTCTTCTCTTAGTCCAGAAAAGAGAGAAATAACATCGTCGCAAGGGAACGTATTACTCCCCCACTTCCCTTCGTGACAATATCATCAGAGCCAAGGAACAGGTTATTTCAAGTAATAAAAACATTGAATAATTATAAAGAGCTGTAATGTCGAGAAGACAAAAAAGATATTC